TAACAAACTATTTATTGAATGCTACAATGTATGCTATTTATAATATTTGATATTGCGTTTGTATATATAAGGAGAATAATATACTTATATCAAACTCCAGCCTGTGCCAGCGACTCTGTGCCAGCGACTTTGTCCCGCGAGAATCCCACACGGTTATTTTGGGCATCCAAATTCGTTTTTGCAAACCCTTCACCTTGATAACCTTAAACTGTTACCCACGACGTCGGTCTCGTTCCTTCTCGTTCTCGCAAGGCAATCTTAAAAGGTAGACTTATAACATCGGTGATTTCTTTTAGATCTTTTAAAGAGGAATAATTCTTTCATAGATATTTTTTTGGGATCGTTTTCGTACGCCTCGGAAACTCATAATGATGAATAAATTTCCCTTTTTTTTCACATTTCTGACTGTATCTTCGCTTGTAATAGTCACAGGGCTATTGGTCATAGGCGTCCTCGATAAATGCTTTAACCAACACAAACATATTTTCAATTCTAACCGTTACTTCCTGAGATTAGCGCGTTCAAACAAACAAACTCTTCAGCTTTTTTGCTAATAACATTCTTACACATATATAACAAAAGCTTAATTGAGTTATTATAAAAACATACAACCATAATTACAATGAGTATGATTAGTTTAAAATTGACATTTCTCTCATATTATATACGCTATTTGTTACTTTGATAAATTTCCTATATACACAAGACTGATCGCTTTTAATCACATAATTGATAAGAATTCTGTACCATTTTCCGGATTTCCGAATCTATTGCTTCCCCGGAATTCAAACCTAGAATCTGTCGCACACAAATCCCTAAGCAACCAATATTGTCAGTAAGAACTTACAATAATTAAAGTTAAAACTACATACACAATTGACTCCCTATTTTTTTAAATTTTTTATTTCGTTTATCTATGAAGATTAAAAATGTGTTATCTCATATAGAAATAAGTACACAGTACTGCAAAAGCCTGAATTCACAGGTTTTTCTTAACAACCAAACATAAGCAAAACATATTTTACGGTTTAAAACGCGAAATATATTAGACATCTTATTTTAACGCTGCAAAGCATCCGAAACATGTAGGATGTAGTTAAAATAAATTGAAAATAATGTGACTAAGATTTTTCGACTTTTAAACCGTTAAATGTGTTTTATTTAAATGATTACTACTCGCGTAAATTACAGACTGTAGGTACTGAACAATCAAACAGTTTAAAATGTCCTATGTATTTACGTGACTTTTTCAACTTGCTATTGAAGTTGAAACAGTAATTAACTGATTCTATGAGATTTTTGTTGGCTTTAGTTACATTTCAATAGACCATTTATTCTGCAGTGCAAAATAGTGAAAATACTGACTGTTTTAATTCTGGGTCGCAGACCTCGTCACTAATTTAGTATGTCACCCGAAGTGTACGTTTTAATCAACTTTAAACGCACAAACCATTATTAATTGAAGTGACATACAAATTACATCTTCAACTTGCATCGTACGTCATTGTGTAGGCTTTTACATAGCCTTTTTTTTATTCAGAAAGATGTATATTTTGTAAGTAACGTTGGTTCTTTTATTTTGTTACTGTATTTATATAACTTTAAATACTCGAAGAAAAATTTCAAATCCATATACATCAAACATTAACATTAACATCTAAACATCTAAACAAGACACACTTTAAGACCCTGTTATAGCTTTCGAATAAAACACATTTAACGGTTTAAAACGCGAACTGTTTTTATCGTATTTCGACCCGACATTTCAGACTTTTACAATAGCGGCGATAACGATACATCGGTTCAACACTTAAAAATAAATTTTATTATATTTTCGCGAATTAAACCAGTTAATTTTTTTTAATTTAGTGTGTACTACTAGTGTACAGACCGTACTTTTAAACGTTTAAACATACGGCCAAAAATAATAAGTTCTGTTTTTTTTTCGTGTTTAATATTTCGCTAATCTTGTAACAAGGAGAATATTTTTACTTAATATAAAAGTAAATAACAGACTACTCTCGTTGCGGCAAGTAAATTGCGAAGAGGGTAGACATTAAGGAGAGGGAGTTTTTAATTATAAATTTATGTAAGCTCACGGAACACCTTGAGCCTGATATTACAGACATCTTAATGATCCCCTTTGTTTCATTAAATACTGAAGATTTCCTGTAAATGTGAGACGGTAGCGTGACGCATGCTGTATGAAGCCAATAACTTGGCGCCGTGTTTTTTTTACATTAGTTCCTACAATGCGTTCAGGAACTCTGTCTTCTGGTTTTACAGAAGCCTTTTTTTAACTTAGTGTACTTTCCAATCAATGTGATTTTACATTTAAATAAAACATCTCTCATTGTTTTAACCACGAAATATAAAGTAAATTTAAAAATAAGTTAACTTATATATTTCGCGTTTTAAACAGTTAAAACTGTTCAATTACAATGATGTTTTTTTCGACGAAATATAAAATATATTTATAAAGACTTTCAAAAAGGTTAAATCACTTGAAGAGTCTTAGTTTGAAAAAAATATTAGAATGAAAAATGTTAGCTGAAAAGAATAACGCCAGTCGTTAAATAGATTTACATAAGCTCGCTCGATGGAACCAAAACTTCGGGCTGGGTGATTAACTTCTAATTTATAATGATCATTAACAGACTTACAACTTAAGTTTTTCGCAAGAAATTACCCAAGTTTCCAAAATTTGAATACGCTTAGTTTAAAAGCGATGTTGGTCTCAGGGATCGAGCAACGGACTTAATGTATTTGAGAGGTCGGTAAACGGTAACTAGCATTTATATAAAACACTATTTAACAGTTTAAAACGCGAAATGTAACTAATAAACAAATTTTCAAAGATAAATTCACGGAAAAGAACCTTTATATTGATATTAAATACTGGTTGTAGTAAACGCAAGTAATACACATTTAAATAAAACGCTTTTAATGGTTTACAACACGAAACGTAGTAGGTAAGTTATTTAAAACTTATTTTAACTGCGGCCCTACGTTTCCGATGCCTTGCAGGAGCCGTGGGTTTTGTAAATAAATTGACAGTTTTTTTTAAGGTGTACCTTTCGCGTAAAGAGCTTACGATACTTACCCATTATTTTGCAAGACACGTTTTTAAAAATCTCGTCTTCGAACCGTCGAAACGAAGTTAAAATAAGTTTAACTAATATATATCGCGTTTTAAACCGTACCATTTTTATATTTAAATAAAACTAATTCTTTTTGCCACGTTAGAAGGCGTCAGAAGCAATAATTGGTGTCGATGTACTCAACACTAAGAATAAGTATATTGCAAAGACAAGTATTTAACTTACTTACAATATGTATGTAGATGTTTTAGATCATAAAAGTATTTACAGTCTAAGAGCATTTTCTAGCTTACGGCTATATTTTAATGGCGTCACGTTCAGGCAATAATTATTCTCGTAATGTGTTATGCTACTGGAAATAGACTATTGAACTAGGATTAGTTGGAGACGGAGCGTAAACCGAACAACAATATTGCGATTGTTTAAAGTTTCGGAGAAAGCTCGCGAGTCGATAAATATTTTCGTTAGCGCTGTTTAGCTGGGTTAAAATTAACTTATCGATCTATTAGATGCTACTCAACAATGTATGTATTGCGTTCGAATGTTATGTAATGAGTTTTAATAGCGCACTATGGTTGAAAAATAACGTAAACCACATGCATGTAATATAACATGTAGCGGACGTCGTCTCGGGAAAATGTGAGTAACCGCGACAAGTACAGCCGACACTTGATGGAATACACCTTAGAACCAGTTTATTAGTAAATTTACTTTTATTTAAATTTACTATTTTCTTATTTGAACCACGTCCGACGTTTAATGGGCAAGCATATTGCGCTAGCCACGAAAGGCTTCGAGTTCGAATCCTTTCGTGGCTAGCGCGCTTCGAGTTCGGGCTCAGGGTTCGAATCCCGGGAAAACAATAAATTGGTTCGGTTCCACAGGGCACAACAGTCTAAACAACTACTTGCTTTTAAATAAAACACTTTAACGGTTTAAACGCGATATATTTTAATCAAACGGCCCGACGTTTCGGATGCCTTGCAGCAGCCGTGGCCACGAGGGAAAGGGTTTCCTTTAAACCGTTAAAGTATTTTATTTAATTTTGTACCACTCGCGTAAACTACAGACAGTATTTAACTGATTCCTAATCAGTAAAAATCGATCAGCGTAACCGATGCATAAATGTTTTAAACGGAATTTTACTTCGATATTTTCGCCTTTTACCTGTGTATATACGATATTTTTATCCTTCAAACTTCTAAACCAGGATTTCGATTAAATGGAAAAGGAAATTACTTAGAAGTGAATACGCTTTTCGCTCAAAGATTACTTACCTACTCAAGATTTAATTTAGTTAAAAGCAATCCACGATTGACCCTCCGATGGATTGCTATAAAACAGTTTTGCTAACAGCCTTTCTCTTGATATATCTGAATAGCTTGAATAGTAAACAACTTGTTTTACTCGAATTGAATTTCAATACATGCTTGGTCTCAAAGGGTCCTTTCGGGATTTAATACCATTTTTTTTATGATTGAGGAAGACAGACGAGTATGGAGTCCACTTGATGCTAGGCTAAATACCACAGCCCTATAACGTCTAAGCAACATTCGCCGTTGACCTATATTGGTTGGGTATTGGGAAATCCACAGACTGAAATTGAAATGCGATTGAAATATACGTTTTTCATCTGTGGACGCTGTGATCGTCACCCGGACGCAATTTCGATACTCCTGCCACCTCCTGCTGCATTAGTATCCAGATTTCCGGACGAACTACATGTTTCGGAAAAAATAAAAAACTTTCTTTGTTGCAGGTACAGGTACCGGCTCACAATGGTCGTGAGGTTCAAAATATTATACTGGTCCACTCAATCCATTACGACATGAAGGTTATAAAGATAAAAAACAAGTAAAATGCCCGCTTAGATTTATTGGGAAAATAAGTCGAGCCAAAATGAATTTCCGTCTAATATCCCTCCTCCTGACGTGGAATTTCATTTTAATATCTGCCAAGAGGGATTCCAGTGAGGACGATAGCTCGAGAGCCAGGGAATTGAGAAATAAAGAGAACAATAGGAACCGGACCACGTTTAATGGGACGTTAACGGATCTGCCTGAACGGCGAAATTTGAGGCACAGGAACAGTTCCAGGTTCCGCGGAGACAGACGCAGATTTTGGGAACGCGAGCATGAAGTGCGTCGCGACAGGCGAAGAGGTTCCGAATCATCAGAGGACCCTTCGAATAGTACTGATCCGTTCTATAGAAACGATAAGCGAAAGGACAATAGACATAAAGGTACAACGGAGAAATACGAAAAAAGAAAGCCGATACACAAGGCCCCAGAAAGAACGTCGACACCAATAAGAGAAAACACGACGCGTTTTAAGGGGAAAGTGGCAAATAAATGGCAAAACGCTGGCTTTATACCATACCCGCAGCCGCGAGAGAAGAAGCCTAATATCATATTAATTCTGACTGATGATCAAGATGTTGAACTCGGCAGTTTAAATTTCATGCCGCGTACGATGAAGGCGGTGAGGAGCGCCGGCGCGGAGTTTCGCCACGCCTACACAACTACGCCGATGTGCTGTCCTTCAAGGTATGTTATTTCAGGATACATTTATGTGGCTGCAGGTCAAACAGATGCAACAGTAAGCCGAGTAGGATTTTGAATTAAGAGTTAATTAATTATTACAAAAAATTATACATATTACTTGTTTAATAATAGATAGCTATTATACAGATAATATAGATACATACTTTCTACTTTTTCAGGAGCTCATTACTAACAGGAATCTACGTGCACAATCATAACGTGTTTACGAACAACGACAACTGCTCTTCACCCATGTGGCAAGCCAAGCATGAAACTAAAACATTTGCCACTTACCTCTCCAACGCTGGATATCGAACTGGTAAGTGTGTCACTTGTTTTAAAACTACCTGCAGTGTCAGCGAAAGAAGTCACTGTATAAATATTTTTTTTAACATTTTGAAATGTTTAATAGTTGTAAAGTTTATTACTGTTATAAGCTTGTTTAGCAGTAGAAGCGGTAACGCATCGTGGATTCGCTATATTTTCGAAGTTTTAACTTGTTGCTTATAAAATCAATCAGTGGATTCAGATATAGAAATATTTATGCCTCATTTCCCAGTTTTTACCATTATTCTTAGTTAAAGGATTAAAAATGTGCTACTTTACTATTATTTTAATTGTTAGATTTTGTTTTTGTAAATAAGTGCTTCTTTATATACTATTTACTTTTTATTCAATCAGGCCATATGATAGAGAACAGCAAACATTCATCTTGTTCATTGCACTTTCTTAAAAATTTCCTACTGTTTATATCACAGCTAGAAGAACTGTATCTAAGTATCGCGTACAATCGTTAATTCGTTGGCCCTTCTCCAATGTCTAGCGTCGATTTTCTTGCGTTGCTTTGTTTTGAGACGTGTGGATAGAAGCCTGCCAACATAAATAATCCTTTGAAGTTTCAACTTAAATATACATTTAGGATAAGTGTTGCCGATGGACATCCTTCAAAAATGATCACCTTCCTGCCTTTTCGTACCTATACACTAGTATTATACAGAGGTAGATTTGTACTGGTAATGGATAAACTCAAAAACATTCATCGTAAGTTATTCATAGAAAATATTGTGGAACTTTACTTGAAACTTTTGTAACGTAACATCGTAAAACATCTTTCGTCGCATGCGCATCGCAAACTATTGATGATAGATTCAAAGAATGTTCTCAACTTTTTTTATACAACTATAAAAAAACAATAGCCTTAATACTGTCTTTTTCGTTACTCACAAGTCACGTCACGTCACGTCTTTTTTTAAACGCTATTTTTGCGTATAGACTGGTTTTTTTTTATCAATTTAAGCTACTGGAGTTAGTCGTACTTTTTGTTACTCACTTGTTGTCGTTATTGAGAGTCAGTGTGATGTTATATGGAGTGTATCGATGTATGATGGACAAGCTAAACCAAATTAAGTCAATTGATATCGATGCTTTAGAGAAATTGTCGTTTAATCGAGTGACTTTTGGAGTTTACACTGTGCATAGTTTAGATTTTGTTTCTGGTTTTTATCATTTGGTGTTGGTGGTAGTCACACTGAAGCAGCGTGACTACGTGTAGGGTCGTTCCCAGCAGTGGAACATTACTAAACAGTTTTGTTTGAGCTGTTTAAAATCATTGTAGACTCGATTAAAACGGCCAAAACAGGTCGTAAGCGTGGTCGTAAAACATGATATCTGATATGGAAGTTTCTTGGTACAACTTGTCATTGAGTGCACCGATTCCGATTATCAATTGAGTCGTAAGTATTCGATTGCGGCACCTGAGAATTTTTTATTGGAGCATAATAATTTACAGACGGATTCCAAGTTGTTACTTATCTTTGATCTATCTACCTATAAGGCCATGTAATATTCACTGCACTAATCTTATATCTCATTTGGCTTCTTAATCAATAGATACTGTCTATAGTTTACGCGAGTAGTACACATTTAAATAAAACACTTTAACGGTTTAAAACGCGATATATTAGTTAAACTTATTTGAAAATGATTTTTAACTTCGGCCCGACGTTTCGGATGCTTTGCAGCAGCCGTGGTCACGGGAGACCCCCCGTGACCAAGGCTACGTTTTAAACCGTTTAAATGTTTTATTTAAATTCTTAATCAATACTAAAATTAAAAAGCTGACGAGTTTGTTCGCTTAACAAAATACATAATAAAATTTAAAAAAAAAGGATAAAAGAAACCAGGATTGGAATATTGAGGAAGGGTTTTGAGATCAACACAATTAGAACCACTTTTAAGATAAATTAAAAATCAATTAGAATTTAAAAAAAACTAAGGAGGATTTGAAGGATCGTGGTAGTGTTTTGATCAAACCAATTGATTAAATATTATTTTTTACCTATTGATAGATACTTGGAATGTAATTCCTATTCCTTTAAATTTTATATATACTATTATAGATTGAAATTATTAAATTTTAAAGATATTAGTAAATTTATGGATTGTATATTTATATTAAATATATAGTAGGTACATCTGATTAGTCATTCTTACCGGTAATATTAGAGCCTTATATATAGTAAATATATTTTATGGTCTCAATAAAACAACTCATTTTTATATTAAAGTAATAACGTGTTGCACGCTGCAATAAATTACATGGTGATATCATTTCTCGGGCACAAATGCAATCATGTTTAAAATAGACAGCCGTGTCAGCTTTCATAAAAAAGTAATTGCTTTTTTGCTTGCATTTTTATCCAAGAAATATATTGTTTTGATTATTTGTCTTCACTATTTAGTTCCGTTTCAAGATCCGTTGCTCGCGGGAGAAATTGATTTTTTAGCTACCATTCAATTCTACTTGGAGTAACCGTTTGACTGTCTTCATATTGTTGTTTAAATACGTCTTTCATATAAGAATCTAGTATGTAGCTTCGTATAAAGTTTACAGAGCGCAAGCAAGACAACTCTCTGTAATAAATAATGTGCCCAAAAAGTCTTCTTTTATGAGGACAAATATGTGTAAATTTAAGGGCATTTTAATATTTAATATAGTTTGGAAGTGCCTTTTAACTGAAAAAATTCAACGTGACTTGAATAGTTTCATATACACTCCACATCTTTATCACTACACATACGTAGAAAGACACAAGCAAGAGGTTTACTTGATGATTCACGAAATACCCCAGCTCTAAAACATATCAACAAGATTTGAATTCATAAGCATTAGTCAGATACCTATACCACCATTACCACAATCATTATTCCGTTAAAATTTGGTTTATTCAGGTCATGGTTGGTAGAAATCCTGTATTCATACAACGCATTGTCACCCCATTAATGACGCAATAAAATCGGGAATGCAATAACTTGACTCATAACTTTACCGTTTCATAAAGCTTAATACGCTTCATGTAAATGACAAGGTTCCTAGATATAGTATGCTTATATTGTTTTGCATTTAACGTGCGCGGACGCTCTTTAATGTCTGAAAATTAGAAAGGTTTTCAGCGATTTTTGGTAATTAGTATACTGTTTGTACGTACGACTCATTGCAACGTTTGGTTAATAACAGTGGGCTCGATCCCGATTTTTGCAATTTATAATATTTCTGAAGCATGTTGGACTACGTCTGGGAATATCGAAATACCATCCTGGTACGGACCAGCGGATATTACAATGTTCCAACTGAGATAGTTAGTGGATTTGGCAAAATTTCCATCCGAAATTGCATAAGTTATTTAAAATATCGTAATAGACTGTACGTGGGTACGCTCGTGGGTCGCCGGACGTTGATCGTTTGATCGTATCACACTCGCGACTCCTCTTACCGTCACCAATGAATAAATCCAGATGGAAACGTCCTTGCCGGCATTTGGGGGGACCGATGAGCGGATCCGAAGATAACCAACTCACATCTAACGGAAGGGATCACTTTATTAGAGACCTATTGTCTAGATTGAGAATGGAATTTGTGGCACGCGATGCTGGCGTATTAGGGTTTGCATCGTTTCCTATGTATTATGAATTATATGCAGCTAACAAACTATAGACTTTGAGAAAAAAAGTAATACATTTATAGAACTCGTCGAAGTTGCGAAATGTGAAAAGTTCAACGACACTGTGTAATTAAAATAACAATACTTATATATACATCCTATATATATATAATACTATTATAAAGACACTATTTACTATTGTTTTTTTGATATCTTTTAATTTTTTACGATTTTTTGGGATACCTCACTGTCGTGCAAAGCACCCGAATGTAGGCCGTAGTTAAAAAAATTGTAAATGTTACATATTCCGCGTTGTAAAATGTGTCCTATTCGCGTAAACTACATACTTAATCAGTTCGATATTTTAAGCGTTACAATGGAAATATATCCTTTTGTCGTCGTGTAATAAAAAATGTGCAACGGGCGTCGTTGTCCCTACTGAACTCTTCTAGTTCAGATAATGTGTTAAATGTGCGTAAGAGAAATTTCATTTTATTGGAAACTGCTACTTATCAAGCTGTTAATGTTTAACGAACACTTCGCAGTCACGACACCTCCTACTCCAATTCTCGGTGCTGGTACTAGCAATAAAAAGGTGACAGGCAATAGAGAAGGACAGAAGCATGGGATCACTTGATCTAGGTGAAATTGTACATTCGGAAACGCAATAAAATACCTGACACCATGATTCGATTTTTGAACCTCGGATTTGCAATCGACTGTACTCACCACGTTACCGACGAGGCGGACTTATAATCCAATATTTTCGCCTGATAGTGTAATTTATCGTGCTGGGACGCAATTTAAATGAGTGCCCCATGTGACAAGCAGCACGTGTCGACTATTTATAACCGTAAAGAGTCTATTTAGTTTGTAAATTTATGTTCCAAACGAGCGGCGATAAATTCGCCCTGCGCTTTCCCTGTCGTAGGTTCGCGTGGGCGAAGGATACGCCCACATATGAGGGAAGACCAGTATTTTAGATTCTTTAGCTCAATCTAATCACAGATTGCTTCTTCCGTTTGGAAAGTGTGTGGGTTGGTCTTTATGGAATAGAGCTGGGTATTTTTGTAGCACTACAAATGTGAATGTGTATCGTCTTAGTATCGTCTCAAGATTTAAGATGCCTTTTAAATAACATTTAAAGAACGAAAGTAATGATAATAGCAAATGCACGGGACATGCATACATGCGGTCCGTGTTTTGTTTATCTTTTAGTAGACCTTAAAATTGCGTATCTTTTTTTAACCTCTCAACAATTGAAACTATAAGTTTAATACAATAAGTATAAATCTAATTTCCTTCTATTTACAGAATTAAAAGTGTTTGAACTGTTTCAATAATCTTTAATATTTTAGCTGTTTAAAACTCGTAATAT